AAATACTGGTAATGCTCACTGGCGATACCGACTACGATGTCTTCCTACCAAAAGGACCAAGCTGTGAAAACAAAGTTAAACAACTTCTATACAACGAAATAAGACTGCGACCATACAAAAGGCCACGCCATCTTGGTCTTCATACCTTCGAAATATAAATTTTTTCTGACCTAGATAATACCAAAAGATTTCGAAAGTTGTTTGTCTCACCCAAGCACCGTAGATTTGTAGGGATAGATTCCATTTTAACAATCTCAGCCAGACCGGCTTGCCGGAAGGTGGGTTGTGAATCCGTTGACACCGTGGTATCAGAGTTACTTAAATCTGTCGGAGGAAAAGAAAATGGAAGGCCATCAATTGGGCTGGTTGGCCGAGAACGGCTATTTGGACACCCTAAAAACTGGTGTCTGTGCCATCGATGAAATTTAGTTTCGTCCGACACAAATGTTTTCCGGTCACCAGGACACTGTAGCTCTTGAATAGAGGTGGCCATATCAGTTCTGGTTAAAGGTGATTCTGGTCGAGACGTTGAGGTATGTATGGCTGGAGCATGTGGCACATCTGAAGATGAGAATGTAGGCAAAGTTTCATGGTTACACTGGTCTTGGAGGTGGCCATGATGACAGAGAGTAGGATGAGGACTATAATGATGAGGATGACTAGGCAAATACTGAAATGGATAAGAAGGTAGAGATAGATGCGCCTCTTGGCTACTAGAGTTATGTCCATGGACTGTTTGAGGAGGCTCATATAAGCAATAAGCTGGAATATTTGTAGATTGTGAGTTAAGACATTGATTATGGTCGTCGCGATGAAAATAATTAACAGGACGGAGGTGCCGGTGATGTTGGTGGCCGTTAACAAGATAGGGATGGTGGGAATGCACCTTATGACCGTGGATATCGCTGTTATCATTATTATTGTTGTTATTGGAATCGCGAGAATGCTGATTTTGATTATGCTGATGGAAATGGTGTTGATGATTTTGGGGACTCTGAATAAGTGAATGGTGCATGCACTTAGGTGAAACAACATTAGTGTGAGGATTGTGTCGAGTTTCGACAGTATCGAATGGTAATTCAACTGCTTCGGACACCCAGGGTCCAGACAAATTAGCCGGCTGGCCTTCTGTAGATCCGGAGCAAGGTGGTCTTCGAGAGCAAGGAGTGGAGGACTGTCTTGATTGTAGTCCCGAACGCGATAAGTTCATGGGGTAACAGGTCGAGTGCTGTGGCCGCAGCAAAGGAGGAGAGTGTTCTTGAAGTGGAGGTCGACAGATGTGAAAGTAATTGAGAATAGAATGAGAAGGTAAATGAAAGTGGCTGGCTGGAACACGGAGCAAACGTCGGGGAGCAGAAGCGCGGGGCTGAATATGGAAATGAAAATGAGGTTGATGAGTATGAGAGTAGTGCGAATGAAAGCGATGGTGGTAAAATCGTGACAGAGGAAGGCGAGTGGTTCGCCCGCTAGGTGGAGTTTTGACATCAGTTTCACAGCGATTCGAATTGCCCTCAGTCAGCGAGAGATAGGGGGAGCAGAGGAAGAACCCGGGAATAAAAATGTCTGAGAAGTGGAGCATTGAGATGGAAAAGGAAAAGAAAAAATGGGACGTGAAGACGCAAGTAATACAGGGAAAGAAAAGGTAATTTGAGCTCATTTGATTAAATGGCTGAGGCCATTTCTGAAGTTTCAAATTAGATTGGAATAGACATGGAGAAATAGTTTTCATTTGTAAGTAGGATTTCGAGACTACCAGTAAACCTGATATATGAGTTGTGCTCACTCTATTTCGTTTACGGTGATGAAGGACTGGTCGGTGAATTTTCCGACAATGGTATGAATAGACCTCACGTTTCCATTGCATTTCTCATAGCTGTGCTCAATCACGTTAAACAAAATAGGATGAAAACATCTCATATATATGATTTACTGGTAGTCTTGATATCCTACTTACAAATGAAAATTAAGTAATGTCGTCTATTATAATAGCAAATGTTAATTTCTTTCATTGGCAATCCCACCACAAAATGTAGTGGGCAAGTGCCTGACCTTCCTTGAAATTCATAGCTACACTGTGACCCAATAAAGTCGTGGCAATGTGGTGTAATGGTTAACGTGTAAAAATTATGCGCTACACTGTCATGCCTCGAGTTCTGATGAGAATGTTTATGAGATCTACTAGTAGTGTCAAAAACCTAGTTATAAACGAAACACGGACAACCTTTTATCTAGCTCAAAATATGTATTTTCCTCTATCCTATTTGACGATATTCTGAAATAATTGTTTATCAGTCCTCGTGGATAAGTGTCCTTAATCTTCTCAATTGCTGGTCCCGATGGTTAGCATATGCCAGACACAGAACCCTTATTACTATAGATTTAATAATTCCTACTTTACCAGCATAAGTCTGGTTGGAAAAATAATTCAAAAGGAAGCCTGTGCTTGTCGGTCTCCTAAACACATCTCTACCGAATCTGATCGCCTTTTTGCTAAGTAGGACATCAATAAAAGGTAAACCACCTTCCTTTTCTAACTCGATGGTGAATTTCGTCTTTCCCTTTATCATATTAATCAAAGTAAGGAAATTCTCCAGGCTTTCTTAGCAATGTTTCCAAACGGCAAAGTAGTCGCCCATATAGCTAACTAATAATATAGGGACTAAAAGTGCCTCCTGAATTAGGCGTTCCTCAAAATTATCCATGCTGACAAACACGATCCCATAGATAAACCTCGTGTTTTTTCGTACAGTTAACAGTTCTGTATTTGCGCATATATATATAATGGTATGGCGAAACGAAATGATATACTACTCGAACAAAAAAATTGTTCCATTAAATAGAGTTGTGGAATTGAATAAATTTTGTTCATAAGGCTAACTTGAATAAATGATTGCTACGTGAGTCATAATGACTTGTCCAGTGTAGTAAGCACTAAATAATTCACCAAAATATTTGAGTGTCTACTGAGAAAGAAACATAATAAAAACATGAGTAAATTACACTGCCAAATGACAACATTTTTGTTGGCTTCTGAAGGTAGAAGTTCTTCGGAGGTTACGATGAGTCCTATTATAAAAGAATGTAAACAGAAAAGTTGTAAGCAAAGGATTCAGTAGAGTAGTTGTTGTTGGAATAGCCTTTTTGTCATTGTTTACACATAAACAATTAACAAAATGTCCTGTATATCAAAATAAGCCAGGATAGAAACTTCCAGCATTAGATGTAAGGGATTTTAATATAATATAACTTATAAGAAATAAATGAGAATAAGGTTTATCATTGCTTGGATTATGGTGGCAGTAGTGAAAAGAGATTAGAGATCAAGAGTGACAAAAGTGATGGTGAAATAAAAATTATGGTGGTGATGAGTTGAATAAATTTGCTGTACATAGAAGAATTTTTGGCAGCGTAATTAGAATATAGGATGAATAGTAATGAAAAAATCTTAGTGCATACCTTCAAAAGCCGGCATGTTATCTACCCTCAGCTCTTCCCAGTGGAAGCGGACTGCTCGAATTAGAAGATGGAAGAGGTTGAAGAGGCATGGTTCATTAAATGCATCTTCCTAAAGAGAGGTAAAGGTCGTGAAAAGGTTTAAAAGTCAAATTAATCAAGTACGTCTGAAACACTAATAGAGAGAATCTATCTTAACAAGGCAGCACAGCCCTTGTTGATAAACCAAATATAAGGAATAAGCAGTTTACTGCGATAATTTATAAAAAGCTTGGATAGTCATGCTGCTTTCCCACTCAAGACAAACTAGAGTCTTGATGTCATCTAACTTTAATCAGCAGTTACAGTGTGAACTAAACTCAGATTCGATTTATCCAGATTCAGATATGTAAGAAAAGTATAGTCACCTAAGAATGATTAAAGTAATAGAAGTCCTGATATTATAGTTTCTAATAATGGAATATATGGACGTCATGATTCGGATAAATTTCATTTAGCTCTGCTTCCTCTAAGGTTATCTTATCCAAGCCGGATCTCACAATCACCCTAAGCAACTTTAAGTTACTTTATTTTGCGTAAAATTGTATCGATGGGTTAGAGCTCTGTTCTCTAAGAATATAGAGGTGTCATAGGGTGTGATGGCGTATATATGTTTGCTTTAGCGACGACAGTCCAACTATAAATAAAAATTCAGGAAGGCCAAATTTGCATTATAAGTGAATAGTTATGTGGCAAGCCAGCATACGTGACTGTGACACAATGGTAAAGAATACTGACTTGAAGCACACGAGCTGATTTAAAATCCTGTTGAGAGTGCTGATGAGGTGTGAGCAAAGGCTAAACCAAAGTCCACAGTGGATGAGAAAACATTTTGGGAAGCAAGTCTAAGTGAAACATACTTATCCAGTAGATTAGAAGAGATTATCTATCTATGATAATGCTTTCCAAACTTGCTTATATTTTCCAACCTAGGCACCCGCTCTTGATGCCTCTGAATAGGTTTTGCTGGGCTAATGAGTTTATTATGATTCTTAAGAAGGAAGTACTTACAACATGGTCAGTTTTTTAGTCGGCAACTTTATTTTTGACATTATACCTGAAGCGCTTTAAAAAAAATAATAAGTTTTTTACGTATTTACATCTCGCCATGACCTAAGCCGTCTTCCTGATTAAAATAAGATAAACGACAAACAATTAGCTATCCTATTCAAAATGCTGAAGTGGCTTACAAGCTATACATTTAGAAATCAGCAGGAAGGATAGTAAAGTCGACTTTTTAAATGCGTTTGACCACTCGTTCAGCTAAATTAGGCTCACACATAGATTTAAAGTGTTGGGTAAAGCAACTTACACAGGAAAACTCTTCTTCAAAATTATGAGTTCTCTTTACGCACTTTTTCGTCTAGTATAATTTTCTCTCACCACAGTTTCGAGGTGTTAGTAGAGTTTATTCACACAACCTAAATTTAATAAATAAATATGACCATGTTGCGAAAACCAGGTCAACCAACCTCTATATAACGAAAGGAGACTGCGACCACACAAAAGACCACAAAATCTTGATCTTCATACCTTCGATTATAAGACTGCTGTTTTATTTTTGTTTTTGCTTTCATTCGATTTACTTCTAAGCCTGATGCTCTTAAGTAGTAAGCGTTTTCCAAGTGAAGAAAAAGAGCATGAAACAGTATGTATATTTTAATCATGGCTCAATTTTTTAATAAAAAATCTCATACTATTTTCTATTATTAGATGTGAATAAATCTGACGATTCGATGACGACCGACTTGAAAGCCAATATAATTTAGAGTAAATGCTTTGGGCAGAAAACAAAAAAATAACCTCATAGTTTAAAAGTAAGAAGCTGATAAAACTAATTCTATAAAATACCCTGAACCAAAAACAGTCTATTTCAGAGGTTTACTAACAGTTAGATTCGTGTTGAATAGACTTAGGTACTATCAATAGATCTTAGACAAAAACTGTATTTGCCCAAGATCAAATAAGGTGAAAAATGATTAATAGTTACACTTATTCACAGAACTATGAATGGCCCTCAAAATAAAATAAAATTTCATTTTGCCTTACCTCATAAAAGGAAGTTTAATTTAAAATTAACTGTAGTTCCCGATTCGACTGAGTTTAGGAACAACCCAAATACGACCTCTTATTGAAGACCTACCGATACTATCGAAACTAACGTCCCATGGACCTAAATAACGTGGTAGATTCTAATGGATAATATGAGTTTGCTTCATTGATAATCCCATTATAAAATATGATGTAAGGAGGTTAGCTTGCTCTAAAAGTAGTCTGCCCTATGGCCCACCAATAATCGTGGCAGTTTTGCGAACTGGTAAAGTCAAAAATAAACGCTGCACTATCTGGGTTGATTCCTGTTGACATGTTGATGATACTGAAGCGGGATCTAAATTGCAAAACAGATAATTAGGAAACCTTTAAATAGACAAAGCTAATTGAATAGACGTTGATTGACCTTGTCTTCGCAAATTGGTCATAGTGGTAGGAAGACTTAGAGGAACGCACTTAGTCCGGAGTCCATTGTATATATGATCATTTACAAAGTCGGACCGTGGACGTGGTACTGTCCAAGATGTTTCGCCGGCATCGTAGAAGACATCGTCAGTAAGTATCGCCAATCTTAGCACCAGACAACTCGTCAAAGAGACAAATGAAGCCGATCCTTTGATCAAACGTGTGCTAAACAGTTGTGCTATCTCTCCATCTGCCCTGGGTTATTCACATTTCGTATATCACGCCTTCACCGTCACAATTTTTTTCCGTGCCTATTTCGATGTAGTGTGGTGTGCTCCTTAGGGCGGCATTAATGAAAACCCTTCACACTCCATGCTGTCTTTCTCATCCCCTTAACCCTTATGCTGGAAATGTGGAACAGAGTCTGCCATATTGTTACGTAGTCCTTCTCTGGGTCCTATCAGTCTCCCTCTTGCCCCGTAGAATTCGTCTGCTATCTCCCTGGTACACGTATTTCACTCGACTCCTGCTATCCCATATGTGCTACTCGAGGCGTTATTCGCCCTCCCCCGCGTCTGGGTGACTAATTCGAGGCTAAAGCCATTGAATAAGTATCACTGTCATGCCTTTGCAGCATGGACCACGTCTCTTGTAAAACCTCTTGTCAGACAACTAGCTCCAATCGCCGCCGCGTCTATCCTGTCTCTATCCCTAATACCAAGTCTATGACTTGCAATGCCTTAGCCCAGTGGTTCTCAAACTTTTCCTAGTCCCGGCGCCCTTTTTCAATTAAAATTTTTCCATTGCGCCCTACCGTAAGTATAACTTTTCGTAAGTAAGAGATAAAAATAAATAAAACTCGTGTTTCTTCATTATTCTTTTTACTTTATTAACATTAAATTAATATTCAATAATAAATGTGATGGATGAGCCTGCAAATCACTGCACATTTTCTCAAATCGTGGAATTAAACTGGAAACGGCCACCCTCATTTCGTTATCCACGTTAATTTTTGCTCTATACTTGCTTTTTATTACAGCTACCGCCGAAAACCCAGCTTCGCACAAATACGACGTGGAAAATGGAATTAGAATCCGCAGAGCCTTATCACTTAGAAGGGGATATTCATCTTTTATTAAAATCCAAAATTCTGCCAATTTAAATTTATCAAAGACAACAAACAAGAAGTAATATAACACTAACTAAATTACAATATGAACTCATTTACTAATTTATGTCACTGTTATTTATATATGAAGCGCTGAGTTTAACTTCACTAGACTCAAATTATGAGTCGACTGACTGAATCGAGCCGGCAACGCTTGCTTATATACTTTCCGCAAGATCTCCCAGAACATTCCAAATATGTCGCGAAGGTAATGCAAACCTCGACGTGTCTAGTGCGATCATATGGCGCGATCGAGAAGACGCAGCGTTTTCTCTCACGTTTTTGTTTAGTTATGCCAAATGTCTCGGATAAATGAATTATGAAGCTTTTACAATATTTCGCGGCGCCCCTGTAAAGAGGCCACGGCTCCCCAGGGCGCCGCTGGGCACAGTTTAGGAATCACTGCCCTAGTCTCTTATGTGCCAACACACAAATATTGTGGTACTGCTTGCTTTGATTAGGTTCAATGATGAACCGCAACGTTTGTGGGTTTGGTACATAAGAGAAAAGGGCATGGCAAGTCATAGACATGGTATTAAGGATAGACAGAATAGAGGCGGCGATTGGAGCTAGTTGGTGGACAGTAGGTTTTACAAGAGACGTGGTCCATGTAGCAAAGGCATGACCATGAGACTTACTCAGAGGCTTTAGCCTCGAATTAGTCACCAAGACGCAGGTGATGGCAAATAATGCCTCGAGTAGCACAGATAGGGGTGCAGGGGTCGAATGAAATACGTGTACCAGGGAGAAAGCAGACGGATTCGACGGGTCAAGAGGGAGACTTTGATAGGACACGAGGATGGACTACGTAACAATATAACATTCTCAGTACAAGGGTGAGGGGGGTGATAACGACAGCGTGAAGTGTGAAGGGTTTTCATGAATGCCGTTCGAGGAGCACACCACACTAAATCGAAATAGGCACGGCAAAAAATTATGACAGTGATAGGAGGATATAGAAAATGTGAATAACCCAGGGCAAAAAGGGAGATACCACAACTGTTTAGCACACGTTTGATCAAAGGATCGGCTTCATTTGTCACTTTGACGAGTTGTTGTGTGGTGGTAAGAATGGCGATACTCACTGACGATGCCGACTACGATGCCGGCGAAACGTCTTGGACAATACCACGTCCACGGTCCGACTTTGTAAATGATCATGCATACAATGGACACCGGACTAAGTGGGTTCTTCTAAGTTGTCCTAGCAATATGATCAGGTTGCAAAATTAAGTGTAATGAGATGTATTCACCCTATTTCGTGTAAGGTGATGAAGGACTGGTAGTAGAATTTTCCCA